TCGTAATTCCAATTGGCATCAAACCATCGAAATGATGATAGGAATAGCTCACTGTTCTCAACTTGGTTAAAGTGGCATAGGTGGTGCCTACGTCAGTAAAGAAGAAGAAAAGGATGTTCCGGTTCTTGGACGCATCTTCGAAGTATTTATGTCCTACAATCACGTAACTGAAGAAATAGATTAAATGAGGGTTCAATGTTGTACTGGTCCGACCGATCTGACCAGTTCCGACAAATGGTCAATACAAAAAATATGTCGGCTAATCATGCATCAGACGGTTTGAGCTAAATCAAATTTGCCCATTATTGTGGGCCAAACCGTATAAATTTTGGTGCTTTTATTTATATATTTATATTTTTTTATCCGTTTTATATAAGATGAATCTTTATAACTTGGTTATGGTCATGGTAACGACCCTCTTTTGGAGCAGGGTCAATACAAACAGTTGAATCTTTCAAACTTAACACCTTAAAATATAATTTTCATTCCAAATAGCGGATTTTAATGATAAAGAAATATTAATTTCGACGTCTTAAATTCTGTGTGAATTATAATTTCGTATAATTTGCATAAATTTATTTAGATTTAAGTTTTAAGTTTTTTTTTAACAATTTTCCAATTACTCTTGCAGATCAACGCCTCCTCGACACACCAACCAAATGCTTTTTGGCGCTACATTACACGCTTAAAAGTCAATTCCTTACTACAGTTTTCGCGCATGCGTCGTAACAATCACGTCGACTATGATACTATTCACCTATCCACGCCATCGCCGTCACCCACACGCACAGCACATAATAGAGAAACCACAACATTGGCAAATAAACACTCATCAAGTGTGTCTAATGCCACAGCCAAACCGACAACAGCTACATCATCATCAACGACGACGACGACGACGACGACGGCATCACAATTTGCCAGCATAAAACGCAAATTTGGCGCACATCGAAAATCAATGCAAATACGCGTACGTAAGATATGCGCACGCAATTACGAGCCAAAGACTAAACCAAACTACAACAACAGCAGCGGCAATAAACAAGCAACATATCAACCAGCTAATGGTGATGATGGACACTTTAAAGCCGCCAACAGCGTTGGTGGCGTAAGTAATGGCGGCGTGTGTGTGGGTGGTGGAAATAAAAAATCCAAATATCGTTGGAAATCGGTTAAAATTAGGCCAAAACACTCGAATGGCGGCGTGTACAATGGCAACAACAGCAGTAGCAGCACGGCTGATGAGTTCAGCAGTAAGACAATGCGACAATCTTTCTTTGGGAGTCTACCGCATTTGCGTAAAGCGCGTGTCTCAATTTTCTCCACGCCAAATTTACATTTCACAGCCAAAGATCAGAATAGTAATGTGAATGCGGTGTTGGATAAGGTGACTGCGGTGGAAACGTCAACTGCGGCGCGAGCTCATAAAGTAGATTATGATGAATTGAATGAGAGTAGTTGAATGTGTAGTCTTTTGTGTCTTATTTATATTTTTATAGCAGTTGAGGGTAGAGTGTTGAATGCGTATACATATACGTGTATGTATGTATGTATGTATATATGTATGTACATAGGTCTATATACATACATAGTATATTAGTAAAAAATGACTCATTGTCCCAATAAAGTTGTCATGGATTTCATTATGCAATGCATGGCAAGCGACTAAGCTACTTTTATTACTATTATAATTATTTTGTTGTTTTTTAATCTTTTTTATTAAAAAGTCAAGGAAATTTTGACAGAAAAATATTTTATTTTATTTATGGGCTACTTTACTCAGATTGTACAGTTAAGGCGTATTCGTAGAAAGAGCCTCAAAAGGCAATTGATCTTAATACTCATTGCCAGTCTAAGTGGCCACGCCTTCGAGGGAACGATGAGAGATGGAAATAAAAAAAAACAAATTATTTTTCTATTTAATATATAACATACTACTTTGAGCCAAAGGTAAGGTGAATTTCTTTTTAAATTAAAAAATCTTTATTTATTCTTCTACATCGACTTCGTCGCCTTCAAAATAGTCCCCTGTCGATGCAATCCAATTATGTCAACTCTTTTTCCAATTATCGTAGCATGTCGAATAGTCACGTTCTGGTATAACCTTCGGAGAGCTCGCTGATTCACGTTTAATCTCCTCAATCGACTCAAAACGGTGTCCTCGAAGTGGTTTCTTGAGTTTTTGGCAGAGTCAGAAGTCACATGGTGCTAAGTCCGGCGAATACGGTGGTTGGGGAACGATATTCGTGGAATTTTTAGCGAAATGGTCACGAAAAATGAGTGCTCTGTGCATTATCCTGATGCAAAAACTACAAAGGCTCTTTTAGTCGTTTAGTAAATACAAGCGTAACTAAAATACCAATGACATGACATTCACATGAAATTTGGCATATATGTCAATAACAGTGCTACCAACATTAAAAAAATAATTAACCCGGAATATTGAACACGCGAAATTCACCTTACTTTTTGCTCACATGCAAGACGGATACATTTTTCAGATATTTCAATTAGTTTGTTTATGCTCTAATAAAAAATGTATTCTGCCTCTGGAATTCATAATCGGTGATAAACATTTTTTTTTTTGAAAATAGGTAATAATCACTTGGGACCAGGTGTGACCTCTAGGGTGGGTAATTAAAAAATATCGAAGCCCACCTTATGCCGGGCAGCCATTACAATGCGGCTCTTGATGACGGGTGTGCTGTTATACAAAAGCTACACACCTTTCGTCAATTTTCGTCTTATTTTCTCTTTAATCAATTAATTTAGTCACAATCTAATCTTGAAGTGTCATATTCTTAAGATATAGAAATACCTTAACCATTTTAATCGATCGATGGCCCTCGTAAGGGCCAAATACCTCTGCCTTGAGTTTACAAACTAACTGTGGCACGTTAAACTACAGGGTCCGCCATCTAACTTTTTTTTTTAACTAGTGGTTATTTTGAGTGTGGTAACACTGATTTTAAGTCTGATTTGACAGAAAGTTAGTTTTATCCTTCCGCTGAACGAAAATGGTTGACTTTACGATTGAAGAACGCGTTAAAATAGTGTAGTTTTACTTTGAAAATGTGTGCGAAAATTACGCACGGAAATGAGCCGTAACAAAGCACCGTCCGCTCCGTATGTGCGCTTTCTTTTGAAAAAATTGAGAGAAACCGGCACAATTATTGATAAACCAACGCGTGAGAAACCAAAAAAAGTGCGTACTGCCGGTAATATCGCTGCTGTGGCCGAGAGTGTGCGTGAGGCGCCCGGAACATCAGTGAAGCGTCGCTCTCAACAATTGGACATTTCCGAGACGTCCCTTAGGCGAATTTTGAAAAAAGACCTTGGTATGACACCGTACAAAGTTCAAATGGTTCAAGAATTGAAGCCACGAGACCATCCGATGCGGTTTGCCTTTGCCGACTGGGCATTTGTTTTATTGCATTTAAAAAAAAAAAAAAGTTATGTGGCGGACCCGTACTTGCGAGGGGTTGTGCACTTTTTATGCCACAGGAGACAAGCTACGTTTCTAGTTACCCAATACTTTTGTCCATTACAGAGGTCCAAATATGCATGTAAACACTCTACTCACTGTTGTTTTTGCGTAGGCGTGAGCATTCTTGGCACCCATCTTAGTCCAAGACCGAAATGATTTGAAAAATTGTTGAATTTGATACTCCAACCATTTCTGCAAAATATTTTCCAACCTTTCAAGTTCTAGCGTGGTCACCTCGCTGCACTAGGCCGGCCCCGGGCCGCTTTCATAGATTCCCTTCTTTGATTAAATAAACTGAGTAAACCATGGTTTTCACATGCAAACGTCGCCTTAGGTTAATGATATCTCATTCATTATGGTCGGAACTGATTGTCCTTGCTTGGGATAGTGTTTTGTAACGGCCCGATATTAGATTTTTTCCAAAGTTTACTTTTCACTCCTGATTACCTTGCTTGATTGGCTCAAAGGCTAATTGTTTAATAACAATGAAACATTGCATTTGGAGTACTTGAGAGTCACTGAATATATTACAATCAAAATGAGACAAATCATCCCCTATACAACCTTCCCATTCCGCCAACATAAAACTAAGAATGCTCCGCCCTACATCGATAATACAATACTTCTATTTCGATGAGGGCACCACTCACCCAATATCAGCTGAATTAACAATAGCGCGCCTGTCGTTTCTTTTTATCAATTGGAGACACAAAGTGAAACCAAATTCCACTCCACGTGGATCTCCTTAGAAAGTTGGTGTCTTCCTCTACTTTTACCGGCAGAGACTTAGACGGTGTCTTTTTAATCGCTGAACTAAATATATTAATGTGGCTTTTATCTCATACAACTCAGCGTTTCATTGTCTGCGGTATTCGTTGTCTCCCTTACGCAAAGGACTATACATTTTCTCTAGAACCATTCTAGCGAAGACTTCTAAAGCCGACGCAGCGGACAGGAATTATCCGAGGCTTGCAGAAAATAAAAAATATATGACAATATGGGTATCAAACTGAGGAGATTAAAGAAAGGCTTAAAGAGAAAATATTCTCGAATAGCGTTGCCAATTGTTTACAATTTTTAATATAAATTTTAATCCAAAATGATAAGAAAGTTTTGGAAAAAAGAGTTTTAAAAATTTTAATGGTAGAGAAACTTTCAGATTTCAACACAATTAAATTGATGGGAAGTGTTAATACAAAAAGCATTGTAGGATTTTTCCAATTGTTAATAGTTTATGTGTTTTGGTGGTGCGATACAAATGGGGTCCTCGCTAATACTTATATACATACATGTATTTATATATATTTTAAACTTTACCTGTTGTAATATATTTATTGTTAAAATTTTAGTACTTAAGAGTTTTGTATGAGCTCGTTATCAGTTGAATTGAAATTGAAAAATTAAAAAAAAATAGTAAAAAAAACTTCGTTATTTAAATTCACTTCATAAAGATATGCACTTATGTAGATAATATTAGTCCAAAACAATAGAGCGGCATTTTTTTGAAACTTACTCTGCATTATGTGTTGCTTGAAGTACATAACTACAATATTCTTCAAAGGACATACTTGGTAAACTCTGCATATCAACATTTTCTAGATCTTCTTCACCATCCGCACCCGCAATAAGATGATCTTCTGCAGCAATGCTTACAGCTTTACATTTCATATCGAGCACCAAATGCATTACCTCATTATTAATATGGTGAGCACTTTTAACTTCGTTTTTAGAGTCATTCAATAACTGCAAACGATAGGGATTACGTAGCATAGAAGATGTCGACTCATCTGCCTTGGTGGACTTATTGGTTAGTATTTTATGTTGTTCTTCTTTAGAAAGATGTGAAATTTTTGATGCTGGCTTCGAGGATGCATTAGTCACTGTATCTTTTATTTTCTGCTGCTGTATCTGTCTATTCGAAAGGTTAAGAGGTTCTTTCTTTGCGATTGTAATATTATTCTTTGCGATTGTGCGCCTTGGATCGCGCCTTATATCCCGCCTCGTTATTATTCTACGCTCTGTTATGCGCTTTTGCTGCGCACCGTGGCTAATGCTGCTTTTACTCAATTTCTGAGTAATAAAATCAATTGCTGAACTTGTGTGCCATAAGCGTTTATAAATCTTTTTATAATTGATAATAGTACGTTGTTCCTGCGAGAGACGCGAGAAAGCCACTGCACACTTATAGCTTAACAAGTAGTTTTCAATATTTTTCGGTGTATTTTTTAACGTATCAGAACTCTTGCTGGTCACGGAGGTGCTCATAGCTGATGCATCATCTCTTGTGTTGTCGTCAGAGTATGTTATTGACTTACGCGTTAAATCTAAACCACAAATCACCTCATTACATTTTGGGCGTTGAGATTTTGTGCTGGGCTGTTTCAAGTTATTTGAGTCGATGTTAATTCGTTGGGTTGGGTGGTATTTATGTACAAAGGCAGCTTTATTGGCATGCCTTTCGTTAGGTACATGGATAATAGCGGTTGCTCTACTTAAATTTAAAGGTTCATTGCTCAAGTTTAACGAACGACTTCGACTTCGTTCAACCAATTCCTTTTGCATTGTGTTAGATATGCCACAGTTCATAATTTTTGGATTTAATGTTGATATATTAACATGAGCACTTTTATTATGTAATACATTTGACATTTCGTTGTCTCTTGAATTCTCAAAATGTGTACATTTGGCACCACTCTTTGCTGCACCCTCAGTAACTGCAGTATTATAATTTGCTTCTTCGTAAGATTCACCAACGTTTTTATTAGCGCTACGAGCGATTTCTATACCACAAACTGATGTTTGACGGTTTCTTAAACTATCGTCAAGATTGTTAAAATCCGGTGTTGTTTCCAGTGATCGTATTGAATTTGGTGTATCAAATATCTTGGAGGTTTGTGTACCATTTGGTACAATATAATTCAAATCTTGTCGATTTGTGGATACTTCTTGCTGCTCATTTTTATTAGATCTCTGGGTAGCATTCTGAGATGGCGCCGATTTTTGCGTGTCCAGAAATGCAGAAATTTCATGTAAATCCGGCGTTGTTGCACGAAGCGTGGAACTGAGAATTAATTGGCTCTCGGTTTTTGTTTCGTCGTCTTTTTCTTTTGAATTACTCTGGTCTACAAAACAATGCTTTGAACTTTCAGTTAAGTCCACGGATGTTACTCGTCGTATGCATTTGTTGAGTTCGTTTTTAGATTTCTCCTGGCTTTCTTTTAATTTATCGAATTCAATATCATTTTGCTTAGAGATTTTTTGAAATTTCATTAAAGTTGTTTCCAGCGTTGAGTTTAGCGTCATATCCTGTGGGGTTTTATCTGTATACTGTTTTTCAGCTTCAGCCTTTAGCTTGTCGTTCCTTCGATCATAATCTACTTCCAAAAGCACTGACTTATCTGCTGTCACATTCTTTTTTTGTGTGAAAAAATGTGTTAATTTAGTTTGTACCAATGTTGAGTTGTGGAGATTTGATTTATCAGAGATATTAAGTACTGTTTCATTGCTTGTCTTATTCAGTAACTCCTTGCAGTTGTCATTAATGGTCGAACCAATCGTGTCATTATTTAATTTTGATTTGGAAAAGGCAAAGCTTTGTAAATTTGCAAACCGCTTACTTTTGTTAGCTACTGTACTGTTGATTGTTGTGTCGAAAATTGTACTCATAGTGCTGGATGTGTTGGGTTTGACTTTTTTCTTGCTTGCTGCTGTTAAAATTGTTTGTTGCTTTCGTTTTCTATTCTGTTTAGGTTTTTGAATAGTGATGGCTTCTTCTGGTGGCTCGTTTATAATTAGAGTCTCGTGCACATCAACGCCAACTGAATGAAAAAGAAGTATATGTATTATGCTAATCTTTATATTATTATTATGATCCTAAAATTCAATTACGCCTAACCAACGTCGACGGAAGAGAAGGACAATGTGTTCAAAACTACCCCATACCAGCGCTGGCCCTGCCAAGACTTTTAAGCCATACTTTAATGCCAGGGTGGGTAAAGAAGTCATCTTTGGGACTACAGTCGGAAAATTCTGGTACAGGCGTTTGAAGTACAACTTTTCACCGAGAACGTAAGAAGAGGAGCTAGTACCAAGACAAGCAATACGGTCCAAAGCAACGGTAAGATCGACCGTAACGCGCGACCTACCGAGAGTTGAAGAGACAAACAAGCTAGGTTTCGGAACTTGGCAGCTTACTGCTGGATAGTCTATCAAAGATAGCCGAGAACAAAGTCATGCCTCTAATATGATTCAATAGGGAATCGAAATGATTGGATTATGATTGTGGCATTAGAATGGGTCTTATTCCGGCCTAAGTGTTATCGATTGATCGGTAGCCACTACAACAATACTACAACCTAACCTAATCTACTGCATAAGGCATTAGGCCAGAGCAGTAGACATGATAAAAAGCTATTATCTTTCGTGCTTTTCCAATAACAAAAACTGGGCAACATCATCTAAAAAAATTCTCCGATTTCCATAGGTCCAAAATACGACACTCATTGCGGAGCAATTTTGTGGCGTTCGTTATTCTTCTTCTGATTGCACTTTCACTTCTAATGTATAAGAAATGGTATATTAACTATATTTCGTACTACCATAACGGAAGGAGAAGAGATAGACCAATCAAAATTAAAACCGGTTGGATCAAAATGTCCATCTGTACATACGTCCCCCAGTTTTTGAGATATGTCAGCCTCACTCGGTACGCAGATGCACTGGTATATTCGAATGATCATTTGCCGGAACTCGACTTGATCGGAACACTTTAGCATATGTACCACCGATGTTTCAGAATTGAGGTTTTGGGTCAAAACTCCGTCAAAAAGGCATTTAAAAGCATGCGACTTGATTTGCTACGGCTATAAATTCTATATTAAGTTGATAATTTCATGAAATGTACACAGACTTCGGCTTGGCGGAAGACCGCTCTTCTGTCTTGGTTTTTTTTTGTTTAATTTTTGGAATAAAAACAATACAGAAAAATATTAGTAAAGTTACCTAAAGTTGCATGTATGACGTGCGCATGGACTTTTTCCACTTCAGTGCTTGGTAGAATTATCGTTTTCATAAAGAAACCATATTCCTGAAGTAGCGTATCACTAATAAAAAGAAGAAAAAATTTTTAGAAATATATATATATGTACTTATAGTAGAATCATTAATTACAGATCTTCGATGAAGAGCAACAGCTGATTTGCCGAATCTCCCACAATAATCATTGCATTTACGCCACGGCAAATGAAAGCTTCATTAACTTGCCGCACACACACACGCACCATGCTTGGCGATTGGTGCTCCAATTGTAATGAATATTCAGGGAAAGCTTGTTGTAAATTTTGCAATATCTCATCGCCGAAGGGATATGGTTTGTTTAGTATCTATGCATATGTATCAATGAAATCAGAGAAAAAAATCCACATTGAAATGTCAAGATAAGAAATTGAAGTCAACAAACAAACAATGCATACAAATAAAAACAAATCACATAAAAACCGTTAAAATGACAAGAAGGTAAAAATATAATTCATTTTAAATTATATATTGAGCACAATAATTATAGGAGAACTCATAGCTTACATACAATAAATATGTGTATATAACAGAGGGACCGTGGCGACCTACCTATAAAGTTTCTAGCAATAACAAAAGGGTGTTTTCTTTAGACACGTGGTTTACAAGAAGAAATCAAGCGCATATAATTTCTTATTATAACTAAGAATTTGGTATTACTATAAAAATGAAGGTTTGCCATTACGACTTCGGACTGGCTTAAAAAATCTCCTGTTGCCTTCAACAAATTGATTGTCTCGTTGGCTGTAGGGAACCAGAGGTTGTTCACATCAACATGCTCCAATTCAGGCACGAAAAAATCATTAATCATGGCTCTGCAGCGTAGTCGTTGACTCTAACATTAAACCAGTCTCATATTTAAAGAAATGTGGACTGATGATTTACACTGCTCGTAGAGCACAGACAAAGCAGCGACTTTTTTGAAGATGTCGCGGTAGCCGAGCGATTAGATTTGCGTACTGGCATTCGGAAGGCCCGGGTGCAAGCCCTGGTACAACCAACACCCAAAAGTTATAGAAAATTAATTTAAATAAAAAATTAAATAAATTTTCTAATTTCGGTTGCCCATCGGCAGGGAATGCCAACCTATCCGAGTGTATTTCTGACATGAATAAAGGCTCCCCATAAAAACCATCAGCCGTTCTGAGGCGGGTTAGTGCTCCACTTCGGAGGCGGGTTAGCACTCCACTCCACAACAAAACGCAAAACCACAAATTAGAGGAGAAGCTGGGGCGAAAATCGCTTCAGCGGCTACAAAGAGACAACTATATATATAATGGCGTCCCAACAATGACTTGTGGATTATCATCAGTGTAACCATTTAACCAAAAGTTAACTTCCTCACTGAACAAAGCTTTCTTTGGAAACTGGGGATCGGTGGTCATCGCATCGCATTTTGGGTCCATTCAACGAAAGTGCTTTGTGCATTATGGTGATTAGGCTACAATTCTTGTACGATTTGGATTGTGTAAGCCCACAAAATTCCTCATATAGTGCCTGGTCCCAAGCTCCAACTGTAGCGCGTGAAGGCGAGTGGTCTCATTCGGTCGAGTCTACTTCGATAATCTACTCCACAACAGCAACGGAATCTCTGAGGATGCACATTATCCACTAAAATTAACAAAGGTGTGAAGCGGATCCCTGATTGCTCAAATTACCAACTTCGCTGGAGCATAATCTCGATCCATAGCTGTCAGAAAAGACCAACTCCATGTAAAGAATTATCTTATTGAAAACCACACGTCTAAAAAGCATCCTTTATATTTATTAAATTACATTATATGTACAACCCATGGAACTACCGTAAATATCTATGAACCCATAAGCAAACAGAGTATCTAATGATTTTCCCTTCTTCTATGCTTGTAGTACATACATACTTGTACTCGTACATACATACATATACACATATTTACCTACCGCTTCAATGATGCGCGCGTCTGTCGCCTCCAATGATTTCAATGTAGTTTTCCCAGCACACACCAGTTGAGCTGAGTAAACGCCACCGATTTTCTGCAATTGTTTCGCTGCATACGCGGAGTTTTCCCACAACTTGGCGTGGAAGCATTTCGCGATTGTCACGGTATGCAATAACGCCTTGTAGCGGCCCAATGGAAATGTACCCGTACTGGTGTGGGCTTGATGCTCCGACAAGCGCATGTACTCCAACAAGCCTGTATGCATACATATATACACGTACATACAGCAAAATGGTATAGAAAAAGAATGCGCACATGAAAATAGTTGCATATTTGAGTGTAAAAAAAAACATTGCTAAGAATTCATAGTTAAATCGTTGTAGAAAAATAAATTCATTATATTTAAAGGAAATACAAAAACAAAAACGAAAACAAAAACAAAAGCAAGAAGTAAACAACATACATTTTGCAATGCGATCACCGATGCGTATCATTTTCAAAGATTCCTGCGCCAAAGTGGGGGAGGCGATCGGCACATTTCCAAGCACTGCCTGCAACAAACTAATGAACAAAAAAAAAGGCAGGCAAAGGGAAAATTCCAATTATCACACATATAATTATTTTAAATGATTTATTCACTGCTAAATAAATTAAATAAAGTAATACACACTCATTTGCAATACCGTGAAATTCTAGAATCGCTTAGCTTCCGTGTGAAAATTGCACAATGCAAATATACGAGGGTGGCTCAATTCGTTTCAATTTGGTAGACATTTGTGTTTTCTTAAAAACTGGGCGATAAATAAGGAAACGACGAAAAAAATTATACTAAAATTGTTTTTAAAGCACCAAGGTTAGTATCAAGAAGGCCGCTTCAACTGAGTAGCTCTTTATGCAGTGGGTCATAGCTTCGAATCAGTTCAGCAACCGAATTCTAAGAAAACACTTTCCATGGGCAGTCGACCTCAGGAAAAGACTGTCGAACTTGAAATAAACAGTTAACCATAAGAATACATCAACCTTTCGGAGGTGGCTTAGAAAATGTATAGATTCCTTCCTTTGTCGAAAACATATCAAGACTTACAAGATAAACTAAGAAGCAGCTCGACCAGAAGACGCACAAATATTTTTCAATAATTTCACATTTAATTGAAATTTCTCAACTTTACGGTCAGCGAACATGAACATCACATCGTTCATATGGCTGCCGCTGCTGACCTTGTTATAACCTATACTGTTTAGTCTTTCGACCAAAGTTGGCATCGCTGTTTCGGCTGCGATTTTCGAAAACAGTGCGCGAAAGGTCGATTGTAACTTTGGCTGTGTGGCGCCGACCACCTGAAATCACTCATCGTGCAAAAAAATTTATCATTCAAAGCACTCAAGTTTCAAGTATTCGATGCAGTACCCGCGGGTGGAAGCAGAGAAAGAGGAAGACCTATACTCCGTTGGGAGGATCAGGTGAAGAGTGAAGCCAGGCCACTTTTTATTTTCAACTGACTGATACGGCGCCAATGCATATAAAGAAGAAGCCAAGAAGTACCTCTTTGAAAAAGCTTTGTCTGCTTTTTTTCATGACTCTATGTATGTTTTCTGATCCCTTTATGAAGTGGTTTTGCTTGTTAATGTAACCGCTGAGGTGACGGCTTCAGTGGAAGAGTTGATTTTTCGGTAAAAAAAATTATCAGCTTCTACCAAGCGATCTTCAAACAAATAAGCGAATTGTGATCACATCGAGGGAGAATGAGGCTTAGTTTTTGGATTTATGCAAAATCCAAATAAGTGTGGTAAATGCTCGAGTTCTTCGGACAGTGTCGAGTTGATGTTGATGCTCAGCAATATTTCCCTCTGAAACTACTAAGCGAACACTTACGAGAGGTGTTTTCCAAATAACAACCAGGTTTGACGAACTCGCTACCTACTTCGGGTTTCTAGACCTATCAAGGTTTTTGCGCGAAAATGTTTTGAATTGGCTTAGAGATAGTTCTATTATTTATTCTATTGGATAAACCTTTCATCTTACAGCCGCTTAAACATACATTGGCGCTTTGTAACCGCTGCAGCGATTATCGGCCGAGCTCTTCTTCTCCTACAGTTCATTCTAAATAATGGATTTTTATGAAGAGCTTTTATATCATGTCAGAACTACACTCAGAGGACTTGCCCTTCCCTGTCGAAGGTCGACCGTGGTTGAAAAAGTTAATATTCAACTAATTCGGATATTGATCGAACCAGGACTCGAATAATTCCTTCAGAATGACAGTACGCAATGCTAACCACTTGGCTGTTGTGGTTGCAACTTAGTTGTTAATACTTCCAATACCATTTCAGTCCTTTTCTGAATTGGATTTTTCTGTTTTGGAACCACACCAAAACGGTCTCTCTGATCGCCATCCTGATAAGGATCGTAGTAAACAGGAAACCTTCTTTTCCATTGAACTCTAAGTGAAAAAGCTGTCTGGTCCATACTCTATCTGAGCGATAATGAAGTGAAGATAAAGTAATCAAACATTAAATCTTTTTTACCACCAAATCACAATACCACAAAAAACTCCAGCACAGGAAAGGGTAAGTTGATGCGAGTCTTACGAGAAAGAAAGTGCGCTGTTCTAGTTTTAATGAGTATAAATATCGACTACCGGCTATAAGAACAGAACTCGACGCATTACTGTTTCGGCTTCTGTTTATATCAAGAAACGTTTAAATAGAAGTTCTCTCTCAAACTCCTCAAAACTCAAAAATTCAAAAACACCTTGATTCACCCTCGTACATGCCAGGTATACACCAGCCTTCGGAATTTCCCTATTTCTACGTTGAATAATAACAAAAAACATACCATGAAATCTTATCTTCACGCGTTTTGATGCGCCCGGCACGTGGAAAGCGTATTGGCGTATCGTTTAGCGCGTTCAACAAACGCTTCTCATTTACTCTGAGCGTGAAATCACTAAATTCCCTGCAACGCACAATCAGATCAAACATTTTTAAGTATGATTCATCTCCACGTATCTGTATGAAATAGAAAAATTGATTTAAATAATTACAAAAACAAAGCAAAAACAAATATAGCAACAAAAATTAAGAACCTGTCGAAAAAGCTTCATTGTCTCGAAACATAAATAATATTTGGCCATAAGTTTGCCATAACTTGTCGTTTGCACATCCAATTCATTAGTGGGGTTTCTTGAGATGAGTCCAGCATTTTGTAGCTGCTGAATTTGTACAGAGCACATCTCTAAAAATGCATACACGTAGGTGTTTAATATGTATGTATGTAGCCATGTGTAGTTGAAATTAATATTTCTTAATTTTTTACTTTTATTCTACTTTCAAACTCACTTTCCAATTTATGTTCAATGAAATCCTTATCCAAATTCCCATCCAAACCATAGTGTGCAGGGTTTTGCAGTGATCTCACATAGAAGTATGTAGAGCGCATCCAATGCATTGCCACCTCAAGATTATTTATTGTACCCAATGCTATTTCGGAGTTCAGATGCTCAGCCAAGTGTTTATGTAAATGCGATTCGATTGGCATAGTACCGTTCATAAGAGTTTCATATTTTTGCTGGGAAAAGTATACAAAGAAGAGAAGTAAATTTTTATTAAGAATTATCAAACATTTCCTCTCTTATTTAAGGTTAGGTTATGTTGGTGGTATGATTTTTGGTGATAATTTTCATTTGTATATACGTGTGCAGAATACCAAATCTCACAGTTGAACCGATGTATGGGAGGTATATGTTATAGTCCTCCGGTTTTGATTCAAACATTTGTCCGATTTAAGTCAAATATGCGCCGGTTTGTTCGTAAACGAGATGCCAACTTCATTATACCCCTTTCGTAGAAGCCTGCGTCCCTATTGGCAAAAAACTCGGAGAGCCAATTTTCACAGGCTCTCTTGAGGCCAACTTCTCACCATTAAGCGCGTTCGCCATGGACAGGAAAATATGGTAATCACTTGGTGCTAGGTCCTGACTATAAGGTAGGTGCATTAGGACCTCCCATCCGAGCTCCGGGAGCTTCTAGCGCGTCACCAAAGTCGTGTGTGGCCTGGCGTTGTCCTGATGGAAGACAATTCGGCCTCTGTTGATCAAAGATGGTCTTTTCTGGATGAGTGCTGCCTTCAAGCGGTCCATTTGTTGGCAGTCGAGGGCCGAATTGAGCGTTTGGCCATAGGGGAGCAGCTCTTAGTAGATGATTCCTTGCCAATCCCACCAAACACACAGCAAAACCTGATGCATTTTTGACAGCGAAATTACCGGGACGGAACCAGGCAAGCCGCTTTTGTGTTACACGTTCGTTTACAGTATCGGGCCCATAAATTACATTAATTTTTTCGGCCGCTTTGGCTGCTTTTCGCCTTGATCAAAGAAAAATCGTATTGATTGTAAATGCCTCTTTGACGGATTTTAGACCCAAAATCTCAAATTTTAAAAATCGGTCGAATATAAATGTACGTTTGAATCAAGGTTTGGTTGAAATTTATTCAAAAATTAGGGACCTGTTTGAGTACAAGCAGATGGGCTGCCGTACATGGCCAAATCAACTCAACTCATTATTCTAAACCTATACATTTTGATGGGTCTATCTCTTCTCTTTCGGGGACTTACATATTTCGCGCCAAAGTCAAGCCATTGGCGTTGAACTTGTGGGTAATAATCCTTATTGGCCATTTGACCTGGTCATAGGAATGCTTGAAGTACTAAGCCATTAAAATCAAGGAAGACAGTGAGCATAACTTTCTCGTTCAAACACGATTGACGATCCTTTTTTGGTTTTGACAAATAAAAAGTCCACAACTATACATTGATGGAATCTTAATACATTTTTTATTGCCGTTGATATCATTTATTGACTCCTAGTCAATCTCATACTCAAAACATCGAAAAAATATCAAGACGTTATCTACCCATAATACCAATATCATCAGTGACTGATCTAAATTCTTTCCCTTTTTGCATTGGTTGTTGATATTACAAGACTAGAGCTCATAACCTTCTTGTTAACGCTTAGAACCTTATAAGTCTCCTCAATATCTCATGTAAGGTCCTCTCGAGCGTACTGTTTAAAAGACTAGATCACACCGTTAACAGACATGTTCGGGACATTCGATACCATTCGATACCAAACGAGATTTCAAACAAGGTGATTCCCTATCATATAACTAGTAAAGTGGGCAAGACGAAATATCTGCTTGCTATTAAACAAACAGTCATTGCATTCGCGACTCGGCTCCCACGTCACTGTCGACAGTCCTAACCAGCATTAACACCAACAATAATTACAGCCTAGAAGTTCAAAGCAAAAAAAAAATAATGTTTCCAGCCGGATCAAACTCTACAAGTAGCTCATCATTCCCGTCCTGCTGTATAGAAAGTTTTACGAACAATTTATGGTCCTTTGCGCATTCGCTACGGGGTATACCGCAGGCCATAGCACGATAAGCTGTACGTTCATTGGCATACATAGTTCAGCGAATCAAGCTGCTGCGCTTGCATGTGGTCCTAATGGAATAGAACATTCCAACTTTCTAAATTTTTGATTAAACATCTAGCGATGAGGAAGAGGAAGACCTCCGCTCCATTGAAAAGACCAATTGGAGAAAGACCTGGCTGCACTTGGCGCCAAAAGCGAAAGGAATGAATAAATGACGCGCTGTTGTTAACTCGACTATAATCCCGTAAGGTAGTAAATTTTCTAATTGTGGTCGCCCCTCGGCAGGGAATGTCAACCCATCAGAGTGTATGTCTGACATGAAATAAAGGCCCCTCACAAAAAACCATCAGCCGTTCGGAGGCGGTTTAGTATAAACTAAAGGTCCCTCCATTTTGTTGGAAATATATGAAGACGCAAAAGCCACAAGACGTGGCTGAAAATCGCATCAGCAGTTACAAAGCGCCAACATTATATAAATAGAAATAAGCTATGGATAAAACCTCTAGGTGTAGGCCGATTAAGTCTTATGACGACTTTTTTAAGGAAACGAATTCTGAATTGCATTCCAGTCTAGTTTCTTTAACGCGAATAAGATGAACTAATTTTTGTATAAATTTGATCAAGTTATTTATTGTCAATTGACGTTCCATGCAACGGAAAAAATAAATACTCCAAAATGGGTCTAACGAGCATGGATAAGTGAAAACCAATATCAAATTAATGATTATAAATAATTTTTCTGAAAGTTATGAAGCGAGTGGAAAGATTGAGATTGATGAAAAATGTAAAGAAAGAAGACTCTTGAGTGCCACGGCTTTATTAATTAAATGAGAATAAAGTGAATATATCTTTGTCGCAGAGTTCACAGCCCCAATGCTCCGTCATATGTGAAAAATATGCTATAAAATATTACGAAATTATTTATAAAACGTTTTCGGTCAAATCTATTATTTACTATCAAAAATGTTTATGCTAAATAATTAATTTAAATATGATGATGACACCGTTTATGGTCGCCGCTCCATGAAGTTTTATTGGCTGATTTATAATATTTACATATTGTTATTTCATATTATTTTTTAAATATTTTTTTATTATTTTTATTATTTTTTTTTTCAAGTTATTCAAACAAGTCAACTTGCACGGTACACATACATATACAATTTCATAAGCAGAAACTTACATATATGTATATTATTTTTACACGGATATACTACCTATGTGTGTATGTATGTAAACTTTTATGTATATGCACATCCAAATCAAATAACCACTCCTCACTGCACCGATATTTAAATTGGTGGCAATCGTGAGCATTTTAAATGTCAAGATGATGCCTTGCACATGAGATCATTTGTGGCAACACAACAACAACAACACCACCACATCGTCGTGGTCTCACCTCACTGCCTAAACGCTCTTACTCGTACTTGTAACTACGAAGCTATGCAATGTACAGTGAGTATTTAGTACCGTCAAATATTGGTGGTTAGCGATGGACGAGCGTTGCATCAATGAATATTTGCCTAGCCACTTGTACTGAATGTTTGGTCTCATCATTAGCATCAACACCATAAGCACACTTTGATGTTGCTTTGCTTTGGTGTCACTAGGGAGGTTGATGGCCCTGCTCCTGCCGCTGTTGCTACTGCACTGTTGGGGCAACACTTTAATGGTTACTTCGACACTTAGTTGAAAATACATACATATGTATATGATCGTGTGTATGTTTTCAGCGGATATATAATATTAGAAAAGTGGCTGGTAGCGCATACTATCATTCGGAAGACAAGCGTTCGAGTACTAATCCTGCTAACATTCAAAAATTATAAAAAAAACTTTTTTTTGTAATTGCATTCGTCCACCGGCATGAAATTTCAAACCCTCAGAGTGTATGAGTGACTCGAAATAAGAGCTCCTCCAAAAAATCCATCTTACCTTCGGAGACGGCTTGCCCTAAACTGTAGGTCCCTCCATTTGTTGGAGTAGGAAAATCAAGATGCGCACCACAAAATCTTCAGCGCTTACAAAATACAAAAAAATATATACATACATACATATATATATATATATTACATAAGCATGTATGCAAGTATGTACTTAGTGTGTTTTAAAAATTACTATTTTTTACAATTGTGGCACTTGATGGTCGTTTCTTGAAGTGAAGTAGACTGGGGCTATCGTTGCCGTTGCACCTACTAACTTTGTTGTTGTTGCATCGAGATTCTTTGACATTGCATTTGGACAGGTACAAAAAGTGACTTGTTAAAATTCAGATTTTCATTAAACGAACACTAACGATTAGTGGAATTAGTAATTACGTTTACTGGTTATATTAACACCAACAAAAATATTGTACAATAAAATAAAATTAAAAATCTTGAAATAAAGGTATGTAAGTATATATATTTTTTATAGTCACTTTAAAATTTAATTACTTAATTTTATTTTGTCGTGTGAATACATATGTACAATATGTGTATAAGCAGAAAAATAGGTCTAAGGTACTCTATTGATGAGCAAATGATCATAAGACCTGCAAAAAAATTAAAAAAAAAAAGATCATGATCATGAAAATATATATATATACATACATATACACACATATTGTATGTATTTGTAAAAAAGGTCCATTGAAACTGCAATAGGAAGTGCATAAACCTTTTCAGGAAGGCTTACTAAATGTAATTGTGTTTTCGTTATTATCGATAAAATTTAATCGTTGCCATTTTATTCCTTCTTATTCATGATTTCATCGAAAGGTCGGCTCTTTCCGCGCTTGGAAGATACGTCAATCAATTAGGGATCGTTCATAAATCATTTAGCCCGGCGAAGAAAAGCGCGTGCTTAGTTCAAATGATGCGCTAGACCCACGCATCTGGGAAGCGTAACTGAGAACAAAGCTAAGTAATTTCCTTCAGATTATTAGATTGTTAATTTAAAATAAAATATTTCTTTGATAAATATTGGATGAGTGCATAAGTTCGTGCCCGGTTTCAAGTGCAAACTAAAATTGAAATTTTTTGAAGAAAACGCTTTTATTAATCAATTACGTATTCGCCATCATGTTCGACTATCCACTCCCAACGTTCAACCAATTTACGGATGCCTGATGGATGATGGATGATA